AGTAAGGCAACAATAGATGGCAACGTATTTTTGATTTGTACTTATAATTTTTTTATGTTATAAATCGGTATGAACCGACGGATCACCCGATGGTAAGCAATCGGCGTCGCCCATGGACACCTGGAAAAGCAGAGGCGTTACAAATGCTTTACCGGCCTTTTGGATATTAGTAATTTAAGGATTGTTATTCAGGGATTGGGGAGATTAGGAGGGGGGGGGGTGTGATTGGGTCTATGTATAGTCTACTTAGTTTTGCTTGTAAGTCTTGAATTGTCCGAATTAGCTAGTAGTATCATTACATTGTTCTAAAATGAGCTGGTTTGTCAGTGAAAAATATAACATAAATATTTCATATTTGTATTGTTAATTTCGTGAGACATACTAAATAATCAAATTATTACGTGAGTAAGCCGAAAACATAATAATTTATAAATATTTCAGATTATTTAGAAAAAAAACCTAAAATTATCGTGAAAAGTCTAAGAAAGGAAAGATTTTTAAGGCTTTAGTTATTAGTCCAATCGCTAATTCGTACAAATCACCCATTCCTATTGAATTCTCACTCAATAATCCACACTATTACAAAGTAAAAGGTTTTATTTTACTTCCAACATCAGTAGACATACGACCTCTTTCTCCTGACAAGATGAACTTATGACGATACTTCATCATGTACTGAGTATCAAGATGGGTCCTAAGTGGCTGTCGACATTTGACCACAGACGGCACCGAAAATTTAAAAAGGCATAATTAAACTTACATTGCGTCGCCATGTAGGCATGTAATACAATTTTTTATTCATACATGTGTAATCGGATTATGTAAAGACCAAATTGTGAAGATGATTTTTGCAGTGCAAAAAAATATAACGACTTTAACACGACATCATTAATTTGGGGATTATAGACGAATTTGGTCTTGAGTGCAAAAAATGCTCTTCATTTTTCCTATCCTTTCTTTCTTAAGTAGTTTTAGTCTTTTTTAAGTTTTAATAGAAGTCGAAGTGATTATGACGCATGTAACAATCTTTATACTTAAAAATGTGAAAGTGTTTTTTTTTATGGCATAAGCCGGTAAGCGAGCAGACGGATCACCCGATGGTAAGCAATCGGCGTCGCCCATAGACACCTGGAACACCATAGGTGTTAAAAGTGCGTTACAAGCCTTTTGGGGATTAGGAGTTTGAGGATCATTTGAGATTCAGGGATTGGAGAGATTGGATGTGATTGTTTGTATTTCTGTAGCGTCACAATGGTATGACTTTATTAGGTATGGTAGGGAACAGAGAGTATAGTTCCTTAAGATCGGAAAAACGAGGATCCTGCGACTAGGCAGGTGATCATGCCTTGCTTTCTGCCCAACAGTTGTTCGTTGGCATTTTCGATCCGTGTTAATTTGCATGTAAACTTTGCATGTGCGATGTAGGATTTTTGTGACGTCATCCGTTGACATGTGACATGTGTCGCCGCATTGGTATTATTTTTGTGTCTGGAGACATTTAGGAATCTGGAGAGTAGTATAGGCTACGATTTTTTCCATCACGCAGATGAAACTCAGAGTCATGAAATTTGTAAATCTATTTCTATAATAATATTCATAAATTTATGTTTTTATGATACGAGGCACTGAACATTTAACATTTAATGATGAACATTTAATTTCTGCATTCTACAAAATAAATGTAATCTAAATACATTTATAATTTCGTGTTAAACATTTCAAAGACGGGTAGATCTAATAAAGTTAAGGAGCTGTCAATTGTCAGATTCAACCTCTGACAATGTAAAATAATTTCTTCACTGTGAAAATTATTGACAGGGAATTTTACTAACCACTCGTCATTCTCAAGTATGTGGCTAATGATGGATGAAGATGATCCAAGAGAAAGTTCAGTATTATTTTATCTAAAACAGTATTGTAAGCTATGATTTGAAAACAAAAGTGTGCAAATAAAACAAATGAGCACAGTTTAAGAGCAGCTGTCATCAAATTTGAACTTTATCTTTTTGGAAAAAGATTCAAAATCATTTGTTAATGTAATTTCAATTTAAATAGCTTATTTTTTACGTGTCCGTGCTTCTGTTCCGTGGATTGGTTTGTCGACAAGCATGTTATCAAGATTGACAAGATACAGGGTGCGTTGAACATTAGAGATGACGGAAGCCATGCCAATGGTTAGGTTTGCTAGAAAGTAGCTTGACTTTATATTCCCGGCAATACAATTGTAACCTGTAGGTACATTTAGGCCCTGTTGGGCAGCAAGAATAGAATCGAACTGTTAATTAAATCCAGTACCTACCGATTATTATGTCCCTAAAAGAGCTAAGAGAACCTTTTTAGAGATCTGGCGCTGATCGCTTACTATCAGGTGATCCGTCTGCTCGTTTGCCTCCTATTCCATAAAAATACCTCACTTGTTTCTACACTCAGATGCCTTACAGTGCACCCGACTTCAGAATCGACCCTCAAGACGCCTTTCACTAGTCCAACAAGGTAGTCTATATTATTCAAGATATTTGTTCCGTTGTCTGTATACTTAACTCTCCTTTTGTAGTGTTATGTAATACATACATCACATTCCCATCATTGTATTCAAAATTGAATCACCATCTTGCAATATTTATGCAACTGCATTTGACTAATAAGTTTGCACTTTCAATGATGAGTTTGCAACACAATATATTTTTGGATTTTCTTTGCAACATTCGCTATGATTTACCGTCAGTTTTCTGAATATAAATTAAGTGATTAATTTTTTGCTCACAGCACAGAATTTCCAAAACTCTTTATTATTTTGTCACTTCTGTTCTTCTATGTAGGTTTAAAAAACCTTGGAATGTCCAAGTAGTGAATGTTAAATATAAATTTTAGATTCATTGAAAAGAAGAAATTGCAGAATGCAGTTTTAATTACAAATGTGGGCGGTGGCAGAGCCATTGATGTATGCATTTTTGCAATAGGTTAAGCAAGAGCAGGTACTTATCGAAGAGTTTAAATATTATATTTGATTGTTTCTGTTCAAATAGCTAATGATTTTTGACTCAAGTTAAACACATCTTTCTCTATTTGTTAGGAAACGATAGACTTCTTTAATTATGTGAAAAATTTAGGCTTTTTCTAAGTCACGACTGCTCCCTTCACATCGAAGTATTCGTAAAAGCTAATTGACATGAACCTGAACCTTACAATCTGTCGCGTCACGACCTCTTTTATAACAGCAAAATTGTCTATGAAAAAAAAACTGCGTGACTTCAATTTCAAATTTCGAACCACTTCCGAAGTTTCGATAATGTGAAGAAAACAGTTTGTTACGTAATTTAAAACGTTGAAGAAGATAATCATCCCGTCATTAATGGCGGCGGGCGATCACAGCGGATGTGACCACTAGTAAAAATAAAAGTGAACATTACTTTTATTTGTTCAACGGTCACATGCCATGTGGGATTATGTTGTGCAAGTCTCAAGTTGTTTTGTGCTAGCCTTGAAGAGTTTTCGCTTTGTACCGATAAAATTCGGGCATTGTTGAGTAATACGGGCATCAATTTTGAGTCATCTCCGTATTTATATAAAATATAGAACAGCCCATTACGACTGTAACCAAGGTCTTAAATGGGTCGATTGACTCAATCCGTTAAATTTAATTTATTAACGAGCGAAATGTGAAACCATATATCATTTTGATTTTGATATCAATCTGAGTCAATAAGCGTCTTACTGAGATGTGGATCGGTCTTTACAGGGGTTTTCCGTCCAAAAGAAATGTATGTGCAATTTTATCATTACACCCACTATTGCAGATTACTGTAGGAGTACTCCTACACAGTAAGCCACAAACCATAAAACAAAAGAATAAAAGTGTTAGTACTAAAACAGACAACTCAGTATTAGCCATAATATTGCTCTATTAAAGCGATATCGATTCACTTCGATGCCGTCCCATAAAATTACTCAATGTAGTTCGACGTACACTATGATTTTGCAATAAGTACCTACTTAGAAGGTATGAAGACGGGAATTACCTTCTAATTGTATGGTTTAGACTACGGCCTAATACTTATGGTAGCCTGGTACTCGAGACTCAAGAGTTCTACATAGACCTACATACAATGTAATGTTATAATTCTATTGTTTGAAGAAATTCTTAGACGTGTGACCATCAGGAAGAATGTGTTTGGATTCCTACATCCGTTACTATCGTACGTTGGCACTTGTTTATTATAAAAACATATTATAGAAACGTTTATCTTTATATAACGTTCTCATTGCTGTTTTCCTAGTTGTCTGACAAAACAAGAATAAGAAAATCTATGGGGTTATTTATAACAACCACAGGAAGAACAGGATTGGTGTAAAATGTATTCTACTCTGGTGTCGCAACATGACTTAATAAATCTCTATGTAAAAGGGTTTTTAACATAGAAAAGCATATTGTGTCAAATTGCGGCACCCTCAAAATAAAGCCGAGGTCTCAGTTGGAATTCAGACCATGTAGGTATTGCTCAGTGAATCTCTATTGTTTTTTACTTTAGAAATCACACGTGAACATCACCTAGAAACCATAATATAAGGTGTTCTCATAATCATATTTACCGAATTATATGTACAACATTTTATAACGAAGTTAGGGTTAACTTAAAAAAAATATTTCTTTTTAACTTTAACGACTCACTCTACTACAAAAATGCAACGTAAGATACAGAGATTAATATACACAATGCAAAAATATTTACAAAATAAACAATGAATCAGTTCCGGGATAGAAACACAGTATTACAGCGGTTTATTTTGATTTGAAATCGAAAGTGCGTCAAACAATTGTTCAGAAATGATATCACAAAGGGCCAATGAAGTCATAATACATCATAAACGTCCCAACTGACCTAATACCATATGTTATTAAATTTGATGCTCTCTTTTGCATCAAATTGAGCTCATCATAACAGCAAACGTGATATGATTGCCTTTCTGTACGCCAATATGTAGAGTAGTGCGGTATTTAACAACAAACGGCCGATACGCGCGACCACTTTCCGAGCGGGCAGCCGTCCGAACGCATTTGCCATCCATTGCTATATAATAAAAACAAGTGCGTTCATGTTTCTATAATTTAAAATCATTAATTAATCTAATAAAAATCTCATTTCATTAAAACTCATTTCAAACAAAGTTCAATAAAAAAAGAAGAAACAAGTTCTATTTTCGAATTTCGCGCGCATTGTGACATGCTAATCACGTGCAAGAAGGTTCAATTATCAAGTGTAATCAATGGTGGAGTAAAGTTTTTCTTTTTAACCGATGGTTTGTTTTAAATTATAGGGTTTCATTTGGCTGCGCTTGCGTGGACAGTGGACTTGCAACGACGGATATGTGGACATATTGCACTTGAAGTTGTCAGCGGGGCAAGATGCAGTGAACTGACGGTGTTGTGACTTTGAACTGAGTGACCGTTAATATTGGTGTTTTGTGACGGGAATAATATTCGGGACTGTGTGCTGTGATTGTTCAACATGTATCTGTGCAAGGTGAGAATTTGTGTGGCTAACGATACTTACTCAAATATTAACACTACAAAAAGCATAATAGAAGTTTTCAAATAATAAGGATTTTAAGTAAAGATGAAGTATTTGATTAATAGACCACTAAAACTAAAAAACATAAACAATAACTACTTTACATAAAGAGTCACATATTTCAATAAGCCCCAAAGAGCTAATCATAACGCTACCTACCAAAATAAAGTTCATAAACTTCTGTCGATAAAAGTCGTAGCGAATATATTTTGTTAAATTTCCTGTTAACCAGAGTATCATAACCTGTTAAATCAACATAATCTGAACGATTTTTAAAAACCAAAATGCATTTCAATACCTAACCCAACTTCTTCAGAATAAATTACTAGACTTAAAATCGTAGTAAGACGGTCCTGAAATAATGTTTCTTAAAAATTCGATAAAGCTAGGAAAATATTCTTATAAAGACTAAAGTTGAACTAAAATAATATTATTCATATCCCCAAATACAGTAACAATCAATGTTTTATGGGGAAACTAAAAGAATGAGTAATATTTTCTAAACAAGTTAATTTATATGCAAAAACAATAAACACAAACATGATCTGAATGTTTTGACGGTTGTCACAATAGAGAATATTAACTGTACCTATTAAAACATTGTTGAAACTGTGATACGTACCTTAGAGGCAATAAGGAAATGCTTTGAATAATTTTTTTTAGGGATTCCTAAGCAACTTAATTCAAATTGGTCAATGCAATGGTAATTCATTTGATGATATTCATGTGTGGTGGTGATCACTATTACTATCAGGATTACCTGGGATAGTAGATAACGAGCAGTCGTTACATCATCTGCTCTTTAGCTTATAATCATCCCAAAAAATGTGACCATTGGTCTTAACATTATATGTTCATTTGAAACTATAGACTAAAAAAATCTCCTAGCTATGATATTGCTAACGCAACTGGAATGTATACACATTTTATTAAAGTTGTGTTACTCGTAACAGGGATAAATTGTATGTAGAACATAAAACATGAAGTCTCTCGTGAGCTATTACTCTTGTTAAGGCTTTTTTCACTAATATATTTCATGCACAATTTATTCGAATAATCTAAATGACTAGATGACTACGGTGTTCTTAATGACGCAGTAGCTGCTATAGAGGTAATAAAAGAGAATAATGAAGACGTTAAACAATAAATAAAATAATGTAAACATGCCAGGAACCAAATAATAATAATAATATTTTATTATATAAACCTATATAAGCAGTACAATCCTATTTGTTTGAAATTCCCGGAAGCATAATATAACATAACATATGTGCATGAAAGTAGCCGTAGTTTCTCGGAAAATAATTTTATATACGACCTGCCATCTTGGATGAGCATTACCACATTACCGGGTGGTGAAGCCCTATTTTCTGTTATTTCTGAACTAAATTATCGTTGAGCAAACTATAATATTCTTACTTCTTAGGGATTGAACAATTTTTAGTAGTAATCCAGCATTCTTAGGCTCTACCCCCTATTACATGGAAATTATAACATAAATCGTGAAAAGTGGGTGTTATATTGTACAGCGGCGTAATGTGCACCTCTGCTTACCCCTTCGGGGTTGAAAGGCGTGATGTAATTTTATGTAGTCCAACGTCTTCTCATATCATTATTGAATAAACTAAGTAGTCTCGAAGATTTATTAATTGAAGAGGATATGACAAACCAATTTATTTAAGGTGCTATCTGTAAGGACAAAATAAAATTCGAATCGAAATAGAATTTTATTGAATTAACTTCTAAACTCTGCCAAGCGGTTTTCAATCCGCTATAATAGATACTGAGGTAGGTACCACAGCCATTATCCGTAGAGATAGCAAGCTAATTAATAAAATAGAAAATCATTACAGATTTTGGGCCATTCACTTTAGAGACAGCTACACAATCGTAGCCATTAAATTGTATAGCCAATTAGCGAAGGTGTTAGTAATTACGTCAATACCAATTAACTTTAGTAAAGAACAAACTTGAAAGCCCATTCAAGATTTTCGGAGACACCCACACATACGAATGTAGTTTTGACCATATATAAATAAGAAGTGTAAGAAAAATGTGGGCTAAACATTGCTTGAATTTGTAAAATGTCTCGTGAATTGAAACCTACACTATCCGTACATAGTACAGTTTTACTTCACGTAAAAAGTTGCTAATCAGAGAATGGGAAGATGTTTATATTTGTTTAAGGTATTTCATTATTAACATACTTGGTGTTAAAATGTTTACTTTAACCAAGTTATTGTTTCATAGGTTATCATTAATTAAATAACTACTTATGCCATTAACAAGCTTTCGGTACTATAATTAATTAGTTAAATGATATAGATCAGTGTTCCACAAAAATCGTACCTAAGTTAATATGTACCCATGTATATATACTATGCAATTTTATAGATAAAAACTGTACAACTTCCTTACAAACTAAACAAGTAATTTAATTATTAAATTATTTAGTATTGATAGAAATAAAAACGTATACAAATGATTGTGTAACAGTTACATGCTTTCATTCAAAGTTACGATCTAATTATAATTAATATGCAATTTATTTTAGTCAATTAAAGCTTGCTGATTAGATTAGGCATTAAATGTATGTTCTTACTTCAACTATCACTTCCAATTAAGTCAGTTTTTGGTCAGGATATAATATATCAAACGAGTCCTTTATATAATCCAATACATGTAGGTAATTCGTAACATAATATACCAAATTAGGAATAATTCTGACGAAAAATGATCTTGTTTTATTACCTGACTTTTTAGGTACGTTTAAATTAATGAGTGTTTACGTAATTTTAAAAAAGAAAGGTAAATGATTCATGGTGATGTGCGAACTCCTTTAAATATCACTTGTATGTACTTTTATGGTAAGATCGAAATATTAAGCTAACCTTGATATTTACACATTTCTACTGTGATATTTACTTGGAATTTTTAACAAAAACTTCCAACCATGTAGGTACAAGTGTAGCGAAACCATTATTTTGAGCCATTGAAAAGAATTACTACATAGTATAAAACAAAGTCGCCATATAAGTAAGGTTTATATGTATAATACATGCATATTGCACCCGTGCGAAGCCGGGGCGGGTCGCTAGTATACTATAAAATACATTACTTAAGAAATTGGTTTAGGTAGAAGTCCCATGGATCAAGTGGTCAGCAGGCGCACTGCGTAGCGAAAATATTTTTCACACGAGAAAAAAAAATAAATACGGATTTGAATGCGCAAAGAACGTCAATTTCTAATTTAATTTGACAATTCCTATTCAAGGAGTATAAAGGTTCAATAGAACACTCGAAATTCGAAATCTGATGACTAGTGCTTGAACTTGTGGGCCAGTCGTTTTTTATTTTTTAAAGAATTCATTAACTTTAAATCAATATTATTTAACTGTTAAATAAAAACTCGGCCTTTTGGACACACCTACTGTTTTGTATATTGTAATTTCTGACTTTGTTTTATGTATTTATTCTTAAACTTATTACTTACGAACTCAAGTATTCTCATGTTCTAAGACAATTTATTACGTAACTTGTTCCCAAAAAAGAATTATTAATTTTACACGTTGACAGCCATGCGGTTCTATTGACAGTCAAAGAGTTAAAGGGCGTGTTACACTTTTCGTTATTTTTTATCTGGAAGTACATACCAGTAATTGTAGAATGTATAAAAAGTGAAATGAAGAAAGTGCCGCTGTATTTACATATAAACAGCAATAATGTAGTTCCCAAGTACCAACGTTGAAGGTTCTTATGGATATTGCGAATATATACGTTTATTGCATCCACTTAAACATTTAAAGAAATTCGCAATGTGCTTGAACTTCAGTAGGTATTTACTTTTAAATTCATATGTGGGTCAACGTCCTGTAATCACACGTCCGAAACAATTATTACATGATCTTTTACTTTTTGCTTAAATGTTTATCAAGTCTTGTGTTTTTAACAAGATTCGTTAGAGTGTCTGCAGTGTTTGCAAAATATTAGTAAGCAATTATGTTAACCGAATTTAAAGACTACTTACTACTACTCGTTTGGCTCAAGTTTTCCGAGATTGAACTTGTTCATATGCATTTAACGTCACGTCTTTTAATTCCCAGAGAGTTAGGCAAGCGAAAATTTTACAGTACTAATTTAGTCTAAGCTCATAAGGTAGTTATAATAAAATAACGTCCAAATTTGTTCAGTGTAAAATTATAAGCCACATCTAAAATGAAACAAATCTATGTCAAAAATACAAACGTAACTGACATTGTGACAATAATACTTAAGGATCACCTTAAGCTAAGATTTACTAACAAGATTCTCATGCAACTTTCGTTTTGCATAATAAATATGCATTCAAAAATTTGACACAACATAATGATGTAATAAAAATTTTATCACCCACAACTATCTTATAACAGAACTAGCAGCCCGTCTCGGCTTCGCACGGGGTAGACAATTATTTCTTTTTGAGAATTTTGGATTCTTGTAGTGACGGAATTTTTTGTAGACATTATGATATTCTTCAATATTGTTGTACATAATTTTGTTCTATCGCTAATAGTTTCGGCAGCGCATTCGACGAAAGACATTTTAAGACTCATTTTTCTACAACTCCGGTTACATTGTTCAAATTTTACCAAGGATCCCTAATTGTTTTCAAAATGAAATGTAGCCTATGTCAAATTGAAAGAATGTAGCATTCTATTGGTGAAAGAATTTTTTAAATCGGCCTAGTTCTTTTTGAGCCTATTCATTACAAATATACAAAAATTGGTACAAATCTTTCTTCTTTATAATATTAGTATAGATATAACCTATACTTTGGTTCTATCTAGGTTCTATAGTGTTTCAAAATCGATGTTCAAGTATCGGTTTGGTATTTAATAAGTAAAGTTTTCCTGTTACTTTTTTATCGATACTTTCAAGTATACTTGGGATTACGTAATCTAAACTTATATTTTAATTAGGTGAGTATGTGGCTTGTATCCTCTTTAAAACACTTCACCATAGAGTTTATAATATACTTATAGTTCTGTACATTGTACATTTTTGATGAATTATATAACGTCGAAGTGGTGCTTCAGTAAAGCATAAAAATTAACAAATGCTATGGTATGTTTGTTATTTATTTAGGCTACCTATGTTGCTGGGTCATTTACCGGTTGAAAAATAACCTCTTTCCTAATATTCAGGTAATCTATACTAATATTATAAAGAGGAAAGATTTGTATTTTTGTATTTTTGTATGTTTGTAATGAATAAACTCAAAAACTACTGGACCGATTGCAATAATTTTTTCACCATTAGAAAGCTGCATTATTCCGAAGTAACATAGGCTATATAATATCACGCTAGGTCCTATAGTTGTGGAGCAGTAACCAAAAATGTTTTAAAAACGGGGGAAAAGTATCGTTTCTGAGGCCTTCCGTGGCGTGCGCTGAGCATATATGTAGTTAAAGTTATACAAAAATGCTCTATAGATGAATTGTTCATAAATAAATGAAATAAGTAAATGAAGTCCGGAAAATTATTTTCAAAAGGTAAATACTTCCCAAATAAAAAAAAACTGAGAATAAATATAAATAAAACGTAAAACTATGTAAAAAATCTTAAGTCCCCCCGTGCGAAGCCGGGACGGACCGCTAGTTATTTATATGTCAGCCTAATTTCATTGATATTCGTCCAGCATTTTTGGAAAGAAAAAATCCTTAAGCTTTCGAAGACAAGCCTTACAAGATTTCCCTACTATGATTACATTGGTAACTATTTTACATTCATCATTATCTACATTTCATAATGTAGTTACTTATGTATTATGTATAAAAGACACCTTTGAGCATGCTTGCAGTCTCGTACTCAGTGATTTTGTAAACGGCTACATTTAAAATAAGTATAATTATATGAGTTTTGTAAAACGCACGTTATTAAACCAAATTAAATCAGAATGTTGTAAAGTTACCATTTAAGACTTATACAGCTGATTTTAAGGTTGTGAATGATGATACAACTAATTGCATATCTAAATTTAATCATACGTTCACGCGCTTAAAGCCACTTATCTATGTTTACAAACATTCGTTTACGGAGCGTGTAAATTGATGATTTACTCGGCAGCTCATCAACACATTTTTGTTCGTAATCCGACGGATAAAATTAACATAATTACTATGAGGCTTAAGCAGCAGATTCTCTATTCATGTCCGGATTACTGGCGCAACTTATCTATACTAATATTATAAAGAGGAAAGATTTGTACCTATTTTTGTATGTTTGTAATGAATAGGATCAAAAAGTACTGGGCCGATTTAAAAAATTCTTTCACCAATAGAATGCTACATTCTTTCAATTTGATATAGGCTACATTTCATTTCGAAAAAAATTAGGGATCCTTGGTAAAATTTGAACAATGTAACCGAAGGTGTAGAAAAATGAGTCTTAAAATGTCTTTTGTCGAATGCGCTGCCGAAAGTATTAGCTATAGAACAAATAATGTACAACAATATTGAAGAAAATCATAATGTCTACAAAAAAATCCGCGGTAGCATGTCCAACTATTGTAGTTATGTCACTACAACAATCCAAAATTTCCAAAAATAAATAATTGTCTACGCCGTGCGAAGCCGGGACGGGCTGCTAGTGTAGTATATATATAAAAGAATTATTCCATTCCATTTTCAATACCGCTGGGTTGGCGTGTAATGTGAAATTCAAAAACAAAATAATTAATTTTGCAACATTATTTTTCATTGAATGCGAATGCATTTCACACATCAATCTCCGCTATTATTTTTCAAACTCGGTACTCGTTGTTATGTATGATGTAAAACTATTTGCTCTACTCTATTAAAATTTGAACATTGATGAGTAATTTTCTAATGATTGTAACATTATGTACTACGAGATAACATGTTGTTGTAATCACAGTTAATGTAGTAACACGTAACATGGTAGGTACGAGATATCTTTTTAACCACATAAATTACGAGTAAAAGTTTGCATTCCCGTATCACAGTGCGTCGGCAATGTTAACCGGTTTCATAATAGGTTCTAGTCTATTTTTTACCATTCACCTGTTTGGCGTAATGTTGGGTGCGGGCGGCCGGCACGCCTCTTCGCGCCATCTCTAGCAGGCTGGTGCGGAGGCAATGCCTGTCTGCCACCTCGGACGTCCACCTTACACTTTACTCATATTTCCACTTTTACTTTCAGGTTACTACCATTTTTTTCTTGGTGATCATCGTGAGAGCCGATAAGAAAATCGAGTTGCAAGACATCGAGGAAGATAATTTGAGGAGTGAACTAAGGAGTGAAGGAGAAAAAGACCATGATAAATCTGATTCTGCACAAAGCAAAGGCTCCAATTCCGAAAAAAATTTAAATTCCTTAGAAATTATGAAATCTGGAATTTTACGGTTATTTGAGAATTCTCAGACCCACTCAATTCCTCAACAACAGCGTTATATTCATCAGTATGCAGTCACTGAACAGCCAGAAAAACATGCACCGGCTCCAAGCAAATTCGTGGCAACGGGACACCAGCAAGCTATGGTGGGATATTTGTCAAACATGCCAATGCAAATATACATAGTCCCGCAATATTATACTGATCAGCCACAACAACCAGAGCCCCCGCAAGTAGATTATCAGGCAAATTCAGTTTCTAGTACATCCACCAATTACCCTACCTACAGTAGTGAATCCACGTACACCCAAACAACAGGGAAACCATTTGAGCATTATGCTACACCTCCAACAGTAACGTACGTTTATCAGACTCAGCCAACCGCACCTCCAGCAATAGCGACTGTAGCACCAGTCGTAGCTTATCATGTCCCTATGTTTCATTTTAATCCAAGAGTAGTTACACCTACAACTGCACCCAAGGCTTTCTACGCTAATCCTGAATACTCGGATACAAATGCATTAGATGATATGGGAGAACCAGAACCGAAGCAATATAGTACTCAGACTGAGATACCGTACCTGCCAACTGTCGCGGAATTACCACGTCACTATAACTCTCGAGCGCCCCTAAGGGAGCCATTTAGGCACCGTCCCAATACCGTACCTGACCTACCTCGTCCTAATCCTTTATTATTGAGAGCGCCACCTCCACATTTAGCTCACATTCCGAGGACTTTACCAGTATTTCGACCTGTAACAAAATCAGTGTACCAAGAGGTTGAACCAGTGACTAATCCGTACATTGCACGACCACATGGCCAGGATTATTCACATAGCCAGGGTTATTCACATAGCCAGGGTCCTTCACATAGCCAGGGTCCTTCACATAGCCAGGGTCTTCCACATAGTCAGGGTCTTTCACATGGCCAGAGTCTTTCACATGGCCAGAGTTTGTCGCATGGTCAGGGTCTTTCACATGGCCAGAGTCTTTCACATAGCCAGGGTCTTTCACATGGCCAGGGTCATTCATATGGCCAGAGTTTTCCACATGGTCAGGGTCTTCCACATGGCCAGGGTATTCCACATGGCCAGGGCCTGCCACATGGCCAAGTTATTCCTCTCCACCCTCATTACAAGCCGCGCCCTGGGTCTTTACTCGACTCTTACATACCTTCTAGTGTTCAGGTGGAGTATCTGAAACGAGGTCTTGCCAAAGATCCTTCATCATTGTACGATGCATTGTCAAGTGGGAAGTTTGCTAATCCGATTCCACGACATTTCGAACGAGGTTTCCTGCCGAACCAAATGTACCCCACCGGCAATGGCGGTGCCGCATATGGACATTATAAACGGAATACAAAAGTAGAAAAAATTCCTCACAAATGACCCCTCGACTGAAAACTTAAACATAATATCATAGATAAGTAAACTGTACTGGTTAATAAGAAGTTAGAGATAGTAAAATACCTTATGTATGTACGTACGTGTTGTTAGCTTTATATAAAGTGAATTAAAAAAATAAGGTTAACATAAAAGTTACTTGTACAACGAACGAGTGTTTAATAAATACTGTGTATTAAATATTTTATTGTGAAAATGCCCAGGGGGTTTGTAGTAGGTATTTTGTTTATAAAGTACTAATTAGAATGGTCAGTATTTTATCAATTGAAATAAATTGTTATTTATAATAAAACTATTGTTAAATATTGCATTGGTTTTATTGTTTTAATGCCTGTATTAAATGGAATTTATATATCCTAACAGCACATTATTGTTTGTATATAACTATAGGACTAACGAAGTAGTCTATAGACTATTATATAAGACTATATATAAGTAGTATATAGACTTAATAGCAAAATAGTTAATATGAGGCCACACAGAATAAAACAAATGAAATATTAAGTGAAATCAATAGAGTTTTAATTATATGTTGTCATAATAATTATACAGAACGCCTACAATAATTTAAAGAGCACATATTTGCTAATTACTGCCTTAAATAATTATGAACATTAGGCCCCTCTGGTGCCAACATTGATGACACTAAAGTCACGCTTGTCAAAAGATGTGTTCGTTGCCACTTTAAAGTTTACCGACAAAGATCTAAGCACAATAGCTGTTAAAGAGCGTATGTAATGAGCCTAATTAATTATTAAAAGTTCTATAGAAAGTTAATAGAGCCTACTTTTGATTGGCGTATAAGACACTATAACCTACTTTTGCATAATAATGTGGTACATAATGATATAAGTGATTTTAGTATTTCATCATACTAATGAAGAGAAGAAAAGAAATGCTTTAGATTCAGATTTGAAGTTTTACAGAGTAGAAAAAATCAAATTTTAATAATGATAAAGACACAAAAAATACGGTAACCTCTATATCCTTAAACTCCTTACAATACTTATTAGGAGTAGAAAAGAGAAGTAAGGAAATTGAGGTTTTAAGACCTATAGGTACGAAGAATATGTCGCGGAGAACCTACGGGTAACCGGGGCTCCGCTCCGGCTCGACGTGCAGGAGAAGGAACGGGGTGGTTTTTAGTCAGTAAGAGTCTGACACTCTCTCCCACCTCACCCAGGCGGGAGCAGCCATTCGATGAATTTCCCCCCTTAAAAAAAATACGAAGAATATAGTGAAAAAAATTACCTGGATGATTAATAGGTAGGTGGTACATTTTCATTTCTATTGGAGATAGATGGTTTTACGTAGCTGTTCGATTCACGCTACTTCATTACTTAGGCAGCTTTTGAACGTGATGGATGGTGGACTTGACTGCAGGTTGGTAGGTTAACTAGGAGATCTAGGCTCACATTAATCTAACACTATTGTTGTAACAATACGTTTTGTAACATCGTTTCGGATGAGTAATGTTATTGAACGAGTGAATAGGAATGAAACACGACAGTCAATCATTATTGCATCCGTCCAATTTCATGGGAGTTTGTGAATTCATAATTTTGATTTTGATTGATTCCTCTAGTTTGTTATGCATAACGGTTGCAGTTCGAGATATTTCCTCGTCCTCGTCGATGTTTTATGTACTATGTATTGGGTATCAATGGCAATAGGTTTCACAATTACATGGGACTCATAACATAAAATAGTGAAAAGTGGGTGTTACATGGTACAATGGTATCAAGTGCCGTAATGTCCCGTGATGTTATGTTATGTATTGGGTATTCGGCTTTAAGTTTGCGCTTCCAGGTGTCATCTTACTTGGTATTTTTTATGATTATTCCTCGTGGTAACTCCGTGGTATTAATACTTACTATATCCAAAGATATAATCATTCATTAAGACTTCAATAGAATCAGGTAGCCCCAAAAGGTTGTTTGCAATATGAATGATAAAGAACATGATACAGTCAGGAGTTTTAAAATATTTTGCAAATGCATCAGATAATGTATGTTAATAGAGCAATTTATATCTTTTGGTCCACTAGTTCAGGTAATATGACTAATATTGTCTAGACTAGACGAAAGTGCAATAACTTCGAAATACACCCACGCGAAATGTTACGACGAAAGAATGAAGTTAGACAGGTTATATAAATGTAATGAAAATATATAATTTATTTAAACAATAGGTAGGTACTGAGTCGATTATTATTTATTAGAAGATCCGTGAAAGTTATGTAAGTATAATTTCGCACCTTTTATGAAATTGTGGGTAGATATTATATATTATTATTATATATAGGCCTATTGTTGGAACGCGTTGGGGTACAAGTACAATTACAAGTTCCAATTTATTATTGAGAATTTTGATGACGATAATCATTATTACAATTTACTTTATCTGCAAACTAAACTTGAGATCGTTCTTACTTTTTCTACAATTGTATCTGTGACTACTAAAACCTGCGATATAGTAGATAACATAAAATATTGCAGCGGATGATTTGGATAGTCTTTAAAATATAGTTATCGACTGCCTCGTTGGCCGAATGGTCGCAAGTGCGACTGCCGGCAAGGGGTCTCGGGTTCGATTCCCGGGTCGGACAAAGTATTACTGGGTTTTTAAAAACCTCAGTAGTAGTACGGAGTCTGGAAATATGCCCGGTATATGGCAATAGGCTCACCCCCTATTACGTGGGACTCATAACATAAATAGTGAAAAGTGGGTGTTACATTGTACAGTGGCAATGGCCGTAATGTGCACCTTTGCCTACCCCTTCGGGGATAAAAAGGCGTGATGTTATGGTATGTTATGTCAAAATATGGCGACAACGCGACGCATTTATGAACTCATCATCAGTCTCCAATCCACAGATCATAGACATTATCAGGAAGTATAAGTTATTAAGAGGTTTTGTCAAAATATTGATCTTTTTTTCCATGAATTTTTAAACCTCTACATCAATCAACAATTTGATGGAAGCTCTCACTAGAGTAATTGAGAGTGACTAATTGATGACCTTCTGACTCTTCAGTCAAATTGCTGACGTACCAATTTTTTGTGAGCCATAATGACTTAATTTTGTATATGGCTGCATCATCTATATTTAGCCTTCCATCAATGGGTAAATGATTTCACGGCTCCAGTTTCTAATTTTCGCAAATGCCATAGGTAACGGTCCAAATTCTTTTTGTTGCCTCTGTAGTAAGACTAGTAAGGTACATTAGGCTAAATTATAGTTCTTACAATTTTTATTGCAATGTCTAGTTCTACGTTATTATGGTGCTACGTGCCAATATGGTTTTGCATTTGATTTTGACTGCTATTCGAGTATAGTGAGCGAAGTTACTTATTACATAATTATGTTGTAGCTTCTTAAATGTTCTTTAATTGGTACATAGGTTTTCGATGCATTGTTGTTCTTTACAAATTATTGCTGAAAGCGTTCGTTACAATCGTCTCTAAGTTTACAGTATCTTTTAAACTTTTAAATCACCTTAATAAATTTATTTATTTTATCTTTGTTGAGGTTAATTCAATATCTACATTAAAATAGAAAATAATTGAGCACGACGCGTGCTTTTAAAACACGCCATCTATCGTTATTCAGTAAAATCACCAAGTATACCATTATTAAATCGATGAAGTTAGAAAGCCCCAAGAAACTGCTTGCGAACTTCGTTCAACCGTCGCCTTTTACTTGAAAAATTGTTACAACCGGTGTTCGAGAGATGGTGTTACTGTCGCGTTATGTCTCTGACTCTGCTTTCTTAGTGGATTTAGAAAGTAACTTTGGTTTGGTTTAGTAGTCGGTACCGCAAATAAGAATTGATTGATAACGTTAGGTTGCACTGATATTTTAAGCAAATTTTAATAGATGGCGCTGCGGTCGTTTTATGCTATCAAATTGTGTTTTTGTAAAGTAGTAAAGTTATCAATGTTCTTAGCGAACATAGAAAGTAGCTTCTACTTAGATAGTTATATGATGACTTTCAATTGGACAAACATTACAGCAAATGTTGAAAGATGGCGTTGAGCTATCATTTCTTTTGTGATTAAAACTATATTCATAGTTAATTTAGATTGTATTTTCTCGAAGTATTATGAAGTTCAGACAGGAGCGGCTTGGTGGCGTTGTATTGGAATAGTTGAAGTGGATATCAGTTTTAAGTACTGGTTTCAAAACTTATGAGAAGAATTTTAAAATATTAGGTTCAAAACGGTTGGTTACGTACGTCTCTTAAGCATTTAAAATATTTGTAAATACATACATACTAGATTCTATTGACAAACTATTTAATGAAAAATGCTGACTCACACTATCTTACTGAAACAAGAAAATTGTGCACACAAAGGCGAACAAGGCACTTAAGTTAATACGATTTACACATTACTGACTCCAAGGTATATTTGATCAGATTACTGGGCATTAATGCAACCTGCCATCTTGTTAGATTTTGTACCTTCTGTCGTTATTACTCAAACAATGTCAACGAGTTACTCAATTTTCTAACTTGCGAAAACTACAAATGTCTGGTGCCGGAAGTCGTAAAGTAGGGCCAGGAGGTAGACGATTTGGATGGAGGATAAGATGAGACAGTTCTTTCTTTAAAAAGAACAACGTTGCTCCAGGATTTTTTCCTGTGTCATGGATGCGTTTACAACCATACAAGTTTATTTTATTTTTACATTTAGAAAACTTACAGCTAGAATTGACAATTATATACAACTATGATTTACATACACATGACCTCCAGACCACGTACGCTTTGCCACCATCTCGCTCCGTGGTAAGCGATGATGATAAGTGTTTAGTTTAGACATAATGTCATGTGTTTATGCTCTTCAAGAAATCTATGCGCCTAGTTTTTTAAGTTTGCGTTGTGTTTTGTCTATCTGGCACTCGGTCAGTAGTAACGGAAGATTTTACATTATAATCGTGATTATAATTAAATTAAAAATAGCTTGAAATATTATCTTTCTTATAAAGATTATGTTAAATAATCGGGTTAAATTAATCAACTAATTATATAAAGCACAAATGCAATATCTTAATATATCGAATGCATAGATTATACTTCCGTAAATGGATATCGTTGTGTCCATAACATATTGGTGATAAAGGTTGTGAGTGTTATAATTATTTTGAACTACATATTGTATATCTCTGCATACCCTTTCAGGAATTAGTTATGTAATCAGTTGTAAAAGAACATTATATAAACATAACGTAACATCACGCCTTTTTATTCCCGAAGGGGTAGTGCACATTATGGCACATAGTGCCACTGTATAAT